TCATTTCCGTTCATACAATAATTAAAATTATGTTAAACTAAATTTATATTATTGGTTTTGTACAAGAAATCATTTGCAATTAACATAGTTTAACTTGAAATCTTTGCTAATATAAATGAATAACGTAGTGGTTAGGTAATGAATAAATGAAATAATAGGTAAAGTAAGCTTAATGAATAAATTGTAATCTTCTCTATCATTAATTATTTCGGTTATACATTAAAAATTAAAATCGTAATAAATAAATCAGAAATTTAGCTCATATTTCATGAAGAAATAATTTCTTACAATTGAAGCATTCGTGTGAAGAATGAGCTCAAAATAAATGTTTTCATGGTTGGTAGTAAGTAGGGTCTGAATTCAAGACTTTCTTTTATTAAATAATTCATTTTAAATCTCTTTATGTAATACTTCAGGATTTATTACAGCAAAAATACCGTAAATGTCCATCGCAATTTGTATCTGAAATGTCGTGGGTTCGAATTAAATACTAACTAAACTACGTGATTTCTGTCTTGATCTTAGTGTATATAAGAAAAATAATCATCAGAAAATACTATTTATAATACAATAATTGAAAAAAATCCAGGTTTTCCCCCGAAAGTCTCCATTTATGGATGTTAGAGAAAGGGGAGAAAGAGAAATAGAAGAAAAGGAGAAAAGGTGATGAAGGGAGGAAAAAGAAGGGAGAGACAGGAAAAAATGAAAAGGGATAGAAGAGTGAGAGAGGTCTGAACTCACGACTAATGGTATATAAATAAATTACAATAATAATTTTATAATTTTGTTATTATTAGGGAAAGGGAGGGCAAGATGGAAGGGGTGGGCAAGATGGAAACTACTTACCCACTCCGAACCGCGCGACGAAGCACCCGAACTCCATGCACACAGAGACACCCGGATATCTTGTATTTAGGAACGGCGATTCAGACCGGTTGGTGCCACCAAATGACGTGTTCAAGTATTTCTTATTTCGCAGCAGATTATTACTCAAGCATTAAACTTTTGCAGTGTTATTATTTATAACTACAAGGTAAATATTACCATTTTGCTTTTATACAAAGTAACTATTAGGGATAGATTGAATGAACTGATATTTAAAGAGGAAAAAAATTCGAGGATTTTTAAAGCGTTGATATTATTATTGGCAATGGTCATTTGGGCGAGATGGAATTGTTTTCATGTTACCCGCGCCCAATTATTTTGATTTCTGTTTTCAATTTATCTAATTAATTGAGGATATAAACATCTAAACAGACATAAAATAAAAGCTTTATATTATGTTGTTTTATGTTTTTTTTTTTTTTTACATTATAAAGTTAAACCTTCCCTCCTGCCCTCCCTTCCCTTAATATTATTATTATACCTTTAGGAATGTTTCTGAGCTTATATCTCTGCTACTTTTTACAAAATAATAAAATAAAATGTAGTAAATTACAAAATTTAGCAGAAAAAAGTATTAAAAAGTTAAATATAATTATAAAAAAAACATTAAAAATCTTTACTTTTTTGCTTCGTCTTCTTAAGATGCGATTATGAGAAGAAGAGGAAGAAGATAATGATCTTATTTTTATAATTATCTTCTTTATCAAAAATAATCGCTTAATTTAATGAAGCTAATTAAGTTCTAATTAATTATAAATCATTAAATGCTGATCAATCAACGCTATAATTACGTTTTTGAACATTATAATTTCGTTTGATGTAACTTACGTCAGCCACTCTGTATCATCGAACCTAATTTATTATTAATTTTCTTTAATTATAGAAATACGTTTAAAAATTAAAAATAATTATTAATTAAAAATTACTTACAAAGTTTTTATGAATTTTAAAAAGAGAGAGAAGGAAGAATGAGAAATGAAAGAAAAAGAAAAGAAGGAGAGAGGAGAGAGAAGGAAGTGAGTGAGATGTAATAGAGAAAGAGAAGTGGGAGAGTGCAGAAGTGAGAAAGAAATATAGGAGAAAGAGAGTTGAAAAGAGAGAAAAAGAAGTAAATGAATTGAAAATAGAGAAAGGGAAGAGGGCGAATACAGAGGTGAAAAAGAAGGAAAGGAGAAAGGGAAGTAAGAAAGGTAAAAGAGAAAAAGAGAAATGGGAGCGTGCAGAAGTGAGAAAGAAGGATAGGAGAAAGAGAAGTGAGAAAAGTAATAAGTAAAAGAGAGAGAAAAAAGTAGGAATGGTGAGAATGGAAAGAGGGGGCGGAAAAGAGTGGAGCGAAAAGAGATGAAAGATTGCGTGAAGAAAAAAAGGGAAGAGTGAAGTAATAGAGAAAGAGAGAGAGTACGTATGTGTGTGTATATAGGTGCGTGTAGATGTATGTGTGCATGAGAGAGAAAAAGAGAAAGAGTGAAAGAGAAAATAGAAAAGAGAAAGAGAAAGGGCGATTTGGTTTACCCACTTTAAACCTTAATTTTTTAATTTATTAATAACTCCTGCTCCATTTGTCAAAAAACTTCTGAAATTTTGCAGGAAGGTTTATGTATTAGGAGTATTAATGCTGTTGAATTTTGGTAGTTAAACATCGACAGTTAGGAGAGATAGAGGGGATCGTGTTTCAAATCTCCATTAGAGTTAATCGTTATTATCATTTACAATTTTTCAAAATTAAAATTTTTGTCATTTCATAATAATTAATAATATAAAACTTTTATAATAAAACCTAGTAACAGATGGCACCACACGTAATTTTAATTTTTTTTTTTTTCCGGAAAGTTACACAACTCATTCCTAGACTTTTATATTTAAGTAACTGGATGCTGTTAAGTTAAAGTTGTTAACATTTTTACTTGATTTTATTTATTTATTTTCTTACTTTTGTCGAGGAAAATGTTTAAAAATTAAATATCAGATACAATCTGATGAA